AGGTTTTTGTATCAGCAGTTCTGGTGCAGGGGGAAAGATGGGTTGGAGACGTGCGGGATGTCAGCCCAAGCTGGCTGTGCATGGGGGGTGTAATGAAGGAAGGAAAAAGTCAGTCATGGGAGGTGAAGAGGAGCACAGGTGGCTTTGCTTTAAGCAAGAGACCACACAGTTTACTGCATAGGGCAAGGATTCAGAGGCAGATGAGACAGGAAGGGGGCAGAGGTGCGAAGAGACGCTGTGCCTGCCGCAGGGAAAGGAGCAGAGCGCTGCGGGAAGTGTGGGGAGGCACGAAGGGACGCTGGCACTGCACTTCATATTCTCTCGGAAGAAACAAGATCCTCTGCAGAAAAAGAGAAGGAGGAAGAAGATGGGAGCTTTGGAGATCCCAGAGCTGTGTGCAGAGCAGCCAAGTGCACTGAGAGGGGGTGGCCTGAGCTGAGCCGGCTGCCCTGGGGCACCGCAGTTTCGAGGCAGAAGCAAAAGGGGCTGAGGGGGAAGGAAGGGAGCAGAAAGGAGAGAAGGATGCTGGGGCAGAGAATGGGGCGTGGAGAGAGCTGGAAGGTGAAAATGAGCAGATGGGATAAGAGCCTGGGGGAGGAACATACCACCAGGATTTGAAAAATGCCTCTGGGGGCAGAGGCCAGCCAGGTGTGACCCAAGTGTGCAGGATGACAAGGGACGAGGACAGAGCCTGTGCTCTGCCAGACCCCTGAGGAGCACTGCCATCCATCCGCCACTGCAATGACTTTACACGTAATTAATTTCAGCAGCATGCCTGCCTGCCAATCAGCTCCACTGTTTACATTAATGACAGCAAAGTCACAGTTTCAAGGGGAAATTGGTGACCGCTGACAAAGCCACACATACCCAGAGCACCTCCTTTCTCTCACCGGCGGTGCCACGCAATGCCTCGCTTGCAGGCGAAGCAGCCGAGGGGCCGGGGGCAGCCAGTGGCACCAGGTGGCAGCAGCACGCCGGGGATGCTCCCCTGCCAGGGCTGCCTCTGCCACCTCCTTCATCTTCCTGAGGACCTGGCAGAGAACAGGGACTGGCACCGGCCCCGCGCGCTGTTATCGCTGCAGCGATCCATCTCCGGTGACAGCCGCGGAAGAGCTGAGAGCAGCAGAGGGCGAAGCAGGCCGCTCAGTCACTCCAGTGGCCTTCGGAGAAACCCCAAACCGTGGCACTAAAGGGCCCCCACCCCACCTGACCCTCCTGACCTTTTCCAGACCCTCCTGACCAGGCACAGAAGGGGCTTGAGACTGAGGCTCTGTGCTGGACTTCAGAGCCCCTGAGTGAAGGGAGATGGGAAGTGCAGCGGGACTTCGGTGAGCATTTCCAACGCCCCCTCTAACTCCAGCCCGTTCTCCGGTTCTGTTTGCTTTTCTTTATAAAAGCAGTCGGGACATTTCAAGTCACAATCAGGCCTTTATTCAAGTACAATTGCCTGGTCCCTACCCAAAGCAGTGCAGATGGACCGGGCCCAGCTGCACTCTAGGTGCCTGCTTCTCCCCATCCTCTGCCTGCAGCTCCAGAGCCAGGCCTGAGCCAGGGAGGGAACGCAGAGCCCCTGCCACCCACCAGAGCGTGGGTGCTGCCTGGGGCTGCAGAGGACCCCAGGAGGGTTTCTCAGGGGCTGGGCTGCCCTGGGGAACACACGCTGCTCCCTAAGTGCCTCAGGGAGTGGAGGAGGTGGCTGAGCTCCCAGTCACTCAGACTCCGGCAGCCCTGTTACCTCTCCGTGCTGCTCTGCTCTCAGATTTAACTCAATCTCAGGAAGGAAGCAGCAACAACTTCAAGGAAATGGTGACTGTGCTACTGAGGTCACATCCCAAGTCTCCAGGCTGCATAAGCACTGTTCAACCTGGTTTCCCTGCAAACATTCATTTTTCTTACTCATCGGAAGCCTGTGCATTTTAATTCCCATCAACTTGTAATGTCCTTGACAGCTGGCGTTTTCTTTGAAAGACAGTCTTTGTGAGTACAAGAAAAAAAAAAAAAAAACAGAAAAAAAAACCTGAAATATGTGACCCAAATGCACCAGAAGGCTCAAAAATCAAAAGAGAAGTCCTGAAATGTGCCAATCCCATCTCTCCCTGTTCCCCAGCTTCCTTGAGCTCACAGCTCTCTGGGGCACCTGGGCTGCAATGAGCTCCTACCAACAACCTGGGTATTTTAAAATAATGTCAACTAAACAGCAGCAGCACAAACTCAGCCCAGATTCTGCTGGTGTTAGGGATACAACTACTATTACTTTCACACAGATACATAAACATCCCCAACAGGTGCTAATTTGCAAGTCTTAGGGTGTCAAAGGCATCTGCCTGGCACGAGCAGGAGGAGGGCAGGACTGACAGGAGAACCATTCCCCTCAGTTAAGAGCCAGAGGCCAGGCAGGGTGCCTTTGGCATCTAAACTGGCACCCACCTGCAAGCACCCAAAGCCCAGCTGTGACAGTCAGTGGGAAGTGTCTGAAAGAAAGCCAGTACTGCTGTTTGTCCGGGTGACCGGACGCCCTGTAACATCACCTGTCCTGAGACACTGTGGGGTTTGGTGGCTCAGCGGCCTACGGGCACTTGGTTAAGCTACAGCAGCCTCCACCTCCCCTTGCCCTGTCCCTGGCCAGGTGCACGCAGCACGGGACTCTGCAACCTGCTTAAGAGGCTCGCGCCAGGCTGGGTCTCTCATTGTACCCTCCCAATCCCAAGCAACACCTACATCGGCCTTTAAGGATTCCCCCTTCCCACCCCCAGTCCCGTGAAGTCTCTGGTTTAAGAAGAGTAGCCTGGAGTCCCTGGTCTTCTTTCATTTCCAGGTGTCTGGAGCCTTCAGAACAGCTCTGTGCTTTAGCAGTGAAAATCATGTCAAAGGATTGTGCTGCACGCTAACCTGCTTTCATGAACCAACTCACCTCGAACCATGGGGCAGGACAGCAAATTCAGGTGAGCTTAACTGCTATGGCCCCTGCCCTCTACCATGAGCTTAACCACTTCTAAAAACAGTACTGCCCATGACGTCCTCTCAACAGACATGCTTAGAAAGGGAAATCCCTAGCCAATCAATAAAAGGAAAGAGAAGGTAATTTGATATATATAGCAAGTCCCCTGCTTATCTGACAGTATGAGCCGCACAAATTCACACCCAGAGCCCCCTCCCCGCTGCCCAGGACAGGGCATGGGGACAGTCACACGACAAGCTCAATGCTAAAAGGAGCCAAAGGATTTACACTCATCTGCTGCAATTAATACAAACTTCTTTTTACGCTAGGAGCAGTGACTGCGATCACTTACCTTAAGTAACTGACTGCACTAAAACTCGTCAGCATTGAATTCCTGCCTCAAAGAGATTTAGGCCAAAAATGAAATACATCAGACTTGCTATATCTGAATACAAAAAAAAAAAAAAAAACCAACTCAGAAGGCAATGGGATTTTTTTCTTTTTTCCTTAAATCCGAGACAGCCACCTTTTGCACGCCAGCGCCTCACTGACACGAACAGTTGATATCCCAGGCCTGCTGAAATCAGCGGCAGACCCAGCAGCAGTTTCAGCTGAAGCCAGAATTTCCCCAGCACCACTTACTCATTTCAACACGCGCACTGCAACACAAGCTAGCACCCAGGGCTGCAACACAATAGCTCTGGATACCAGCAGTAATGAAAAACAGGCAGAGCGGAAAGCTGTGTCTTTGAGAGAAGTCAGAGGCACGGTGCTGGAAAAGGCATCCTGCTTCCCAGTCGTTGCTCCAGTAACTCTGGAGCTCTGTGACTTTTCGGGGCAGTGAGGGGAAGCCAGAGCAGCAGCACAGCCACCTGCAGCATGAGCACATCAGGACCCTTCCTCTGGGTGCCCTGTGCTCCAGGGAACTCTGCCGTGTGAATTGGGTGCTCGTTCAGGCTTTGATTTTGGCTGCTTCGTCATTAGTAAAATATGCTGAAAATGTGACTTCCTCCTGCTAGAGGAGCAGACCTATTGAACCTTTCCTGAGAAGTCCAAGTAACTTCCTCTTGTATTGCAAAAAAAGAGAAGACAAGCCCACAGGTTGTATCGTTTGTCACACTGCTGGAAATTCCTCTAGCAGAAAGAGCTATTGATGCAGCAGAGAGAGAGAGAAAGAGAAGGGGAGAGGGAGGGAGGGGAGGGTTACTTTTCATTACGTGTGTGCTTTATCAAACAAAACTGTTAGTTCTCTTTAGAGTACTGAAACACTTTCGCTTCCTCTTTCGTCTCATTTAGCAACTGCAGAGAAAGCACCCTGCTTTCTAGTGAGGCAGTTTGATTATCTGCACAGAACCTCTGCATTGAACGGCTTTATCACATGAAAACAATCTCCATCTACTCTCCTTGCTGAGCAAAGCCAGCTCTGTCTAGGATTCTCTTACCCAGCATCCGGGGGCACCTGGCCACCCCCTTTCGATGGCAACAGGAGGCAGAGGCAGCAGGGGAATCAGTCTGCCTGCTGGCATGCCAGGGGTGACACTCCTGGGAGAGGAAGGGCAGGGAGCACAGCCAGTAGGCAGCAGCCATTAGCTTTTAAAATAGGAGAGGGGAAAGAGCAAAGAACAGAGCAGGTAAGAAATTATCTCGTGTCAGTCCAAGAAGGTGCAAAGGACGGGAGGGAGCGGTGCGAGTCACCTGCCCACTGGCACAACCAGCCCTGCACCCACTGCCCAGGTCCCTGCAGCATGCCTCTGAGCCACCCCAATCCGAGCACGGCACCACAGCACCTTGCACGCTGGCTTAAGTCAGCTGAAAGCACGCTAAAGGGCACGGCTGATCCTTCATAAAGAAGCGCTGCCCGTTCAGCTCCTTCTCTGATAGTGTACTTGTCTCTGAGCACTGCAGGGGCTTCACTGCGGGCTGGCAGCCCGATGCTCACAGTGCCACCACATTATGCAGCCACTCAGAGATGAGAAAAGGAACAATTTATCCTGGGACAAGTATCTAAAAGGTGCTGCCTCCCCCAGACCCCCGCACCATGGCTGGCACTGCAGACGCCCACCTGAAGGACCAAGGAGGTCACACCAGTAGAAGGATCGGAGAAAAGCAGCCGCAGCGACGCCTTTCTTCAAGGCACCACTGCCGAGGACAGTGCCTGTAAGGCTTCCTGAACCGAGGAGCGTTTGACATCACCCTGAGCCGTGGTGCGATCTGAAAAAGCTAGAGGGAAAGGCTGGGACTCGCTCCGGGGCCCCTCAGGGATTTCTGGACGTACCCGCAGCCCCTGGAGTGTCCCACCACGGCCCTTCCCTTACCTCGGGCCCTCCTGCCAGGGCGCATGTTCCTGCTCAACGCCCCGCGTGTGCCTTTGGTGACAGCAGCCACTGCAGTGACGTCTTACAGGTTCAAAAACCCCCCAGAAAATAGGGACTTCACAGCTTAGACGAGCACTTCTCCTTTGAAATCAAGGGACTTCCTCTTCCCATAAGCAGCTGGTTGTGGACATCAAAGCCCAGCACACATCAGTAACGCATTCAGAGCCCGAGACACTTTTCACCTTCTGTGTTAGAGGCAACAAGGCCCTTATAAAGGGCAGCGGTCAGGAGCTGGGAGAGGGAAGGATACACAGGGCCCTCAGCATTGGGCTGTCCTGGGGATGATAAAACTCCCGAGATCTGGTAATAAGTCATTGTACGGGGGCACCGCACTGCGTAGTTCCAGCACCCACCCGAGCCCAGCAGTGCTGAGGTGTCTCCTGGCCCCTGAGGTGTCTCCTGGCCCTGAGTACCCTTGCTGGGCTCCCACACATCCATGGGGGAACTCCCGTCCCCCAGAGAAGGCACGCAGGGCATGGGGAGCTCCCCTTTCCCAGGGTGGTTGCCTCTGTCATCCACTTGTGAAGGGTGTGGAAAGGAAAAATGCAGGCTAGTAGCTCCCCTGACAAAGAAACATGAGGTGCTGGCACCTTCCAGAAGCAGGAGCTCTCCCCTGCATACCAGGCAGGTGATGAACAGCCTCGCACAGGTGAGAGAGATGTTTGCAGAGGAGAATGAGGCATGCGGTCTGCAAGCACAAAAGATTCAAGTCCTCAGAAAGCAAAGCTGATACCCCTGCAACAGGAGAGTTAATCCCTCTGCAGGGTCCCAACCCAGTGGGACAGCAGGGGAAGGGCTGCCCAGGAGCTGGCACAGATCACACCTTGGTGGTTCCCCACATCCCCAGGACCTCAGCTTTAAGTAAACATGAACTGTAACATCAGAGGGAGCAATTCCCACAGACAGAGCTATCAGGCTCTGACAAACCCTGGCGTCCATCACTGCGCATGGAAGGAGCACTGCCGAAGGATCAGGGGCTGCCAAGGCCCCAGACCTACCCGAAGGTACAGAAAGGTTGACAACAGCGCTCCAAAAGCTTCTACAACTGCACTTAAGTGTAGGCTGCTGGTAAGGTAAAGCTGGCACAGCCTCAGCAGATAGCTTCTTAAGAAATTTCTGATACTTCCAGAGGAGCTCACCAAACAAAGCTCACCAGAAGAACACTACTGCTATTCTCCCCACATCCAAACGCAGCCATCTCAGCCTGCTCCATTTAGGGAACAGAAACACGCCCGAGCACAGTCTCCCTGCCTGAAAAGGCTGATTTCCATCTACCTAAGTCCGACTGTCAGGGCAGCACAGGCGTCCAGACAGCCTGCACCCAGACACACTGGGCTTGCTCCAAAGTTTTCACTAAGGTTGGAGAGTTTTAGCCTGTGGGAAATCCAGGCTGCCACAACAAGAGATGTGACCAAAGGCACCGGGGCAGCTGCAGCTGGTGGGAGGTAGGAGCAGGGCATGCCGTCCGGTCAGAAAGCAGAAGTAAGCACAAGCTGAGACGATGCTGATTGGGGTGAGAAGCAACAACTGCACGGCTCCAGACATCCACCTGCACCTCCACCCGAGCATCCCGGGCCACACGAGGCCCACCGGGTAACAGTGCTGCCAGGCGAGCTGTGCCATGGCTGGCTGCGCTCTCACCGAGCACCCTTGGTGAGGTGTCCTCAAACCTGGGTGCAATGCCTTGTAAACGAGACACTCAGCGAGGCAGCAGCTTCTCTCTTCCACATTAAAACAGCTAAACAGACTCCTGCCCGGCTGTATCACACTGTGTGCACGGTGCTGAGTGCTGAATGCCAGTCATGCACCAGCAATAAAGTGTGCTTCTGCAGATTACTTTGAAAGACTTAAAAAAATATATATATAATAATAATATTGGGAAGGCAGGCAGTGCAGTTGAAGTAACAGAGGCAACCGAATAGACTGATGCTGGGTTGCCACAAGAAAATCAACCACTAGGAGAAAGCTGGCTACTGTAACGAGTTCCTAGGCTGAAACACAAAAAAGCCTCTGAAGCTTCCAGAAGAAACAATGCAAACTGCACCCTTTGCTCCGAGCGGTTCTCAGTTTCAACAGAGAACATCAGAGAAAGACTGGCAAAGAGCAAGCAATTGAATTGGTTCTGGAGGGTCCTTACCATAAAGCTGTCACTCGCAAGCAGTGCCGTGTCCCCGCACGCTCTGCTGGAGTGAGCAATTCCAAAACCTCATTTTGCAACGAAGAACTGGCCGGGCTGGAAAAGGAACAAGTCCGCTCCCTAGTCAGCGCTGCTCGAGCTATGGAACGGAAGAAAGCTCTAGAGGATATACTACCATGAATGTGGGCTTAAGTTCAGATACAAGACTTTGCCCCCAAGCAGGTAAGTCGTGATTTCCACCCATGTTTCTGCTGCCAGGACGGACTCCTCCAGAGAGGGGTGGAGCTGCCTGCAGTCAGCAGTCGCCTGCCTCAGTAAATGCCACCAGATTTGGCTTCTTGTGAAGCCTCAGGCAGGAGGTGAACAGCACGGGGCCGCACTTTGCTATCGGAACAGCCCCATCCACCTTATTCCTGGCCAGTCCATTTCCGAGGCTGAGCTTGTCAGTCCTTGTCACCAGCCCTCCAGTCTTGCACCCTTGCAAGAGAGAGCGCCACATTTTCTTCCCCAGGAAAACAAGTGGCGGCAAATGCAAAACTCATTCTGCATGTCCAGCAGAGTTGACCTTCACGGGGTTTCCAGTGCATGAGATCAGCTGTATCAAGCGTGCTGTGGAGCAAGTGCTCCACCTAGAAGATAAGGGATACAATCCACAAGGGAAGGAAGACTGGTATTGCTCTAAACCAAAGGCTAAAAGGAATAAGGTGCCTGCAAATAGACACAACTGCAAAGGAAGCTTCAGAGGCTGGTAACTTAATGTGAGCTGGATCAGAATATACCAACGTGTAACTCTCCTCTCCAGAGATGTGTCATGGGCAGGCTACTCCCTCTTGAAAAAGAAATTTGAGGTAATCTCTCAACCAAGAAAGAGCAACCAAGTCAAAAGAAAAAGCAACAACAAGGCCATTGCCACTACAAAGAGCAGGAGCCACCTCCTCAGCTTTGCTTCTGCCACTTCCCTTCGTTGTATCCCCTGTGAAAGCCACGGCACTGCTTTCAAACCTACCCCACACAGATCAATCAGGCCTGCAGAGGGATGCTGCAAAGCCACACGAAGCCATTCCCAGTCCCTAGCACAGCACAGCTCCCTGCAGAAGGGGAAGGGGCTCCCCCAGCTCAGGAGCAAAGCTGGGTACGGCTCCACGACAAAACCTCAGCTCGAGGAAGGTTGGGCAGAAGAGGGCTCCCCCACATGAATAAACACTCTCCTGCAGGAAAACGGGCACATATCACATGGGATTCAACCCCTAAACGTGTTTCAGTTTCATTTCAACTCAGGCTCCCAGTTAAATGCGCCAGCAAGTAACCGGAGACCACCTCAGTGTGTAACAGCGACGCAGGGCATCGCCACGGCCGCAGCCTTTCCAAACAGCTGCAAAGCTCTGGCTGCAGAGCCAAAGCGCCTCGCAGCGGGGCAGCTTCCTTCCTCAAAGGCCGACGCTTGCAGCAGTTCACCACCTCGGCCGGAATGCCCACCTTACTGCTCGGAGGTGGCTCGCACTCCGAGGCGCAGACGAGGCTGCGCTCACTGGGCAGGCAGAGCAGCAGCACAGGGAGCGAGGCTGCGGCCCAACCACGCCACTCGTAGTCCTGAACAGGCATTTTACTATTTATAAGCTAATCATCTGACCCCTCTGCAGGGAAATCCTATCCTTGGGCCGCGGGGAGAGCAGCCGCCTCCACAGGACAGCTGGGAGGGGCAGCGGGATGCGGGCATGTGGATCACTTCCTCCCAGCTCAGGAGTGGTACAGACATCCTGGGGGTGAGCCAGGACTGCCAGCAGGAATTCATCTGTTACCCAACTTGCTAGGAGCAAGGTAATTTTTTTAAATTGTCTCTCTCCTCCGTTCACCGCTGTCCAAATTCCCAGACATTGACGTTTCCCCGCACACCATGACAGTGCCATGGTGAGACCACATCCAAGTCCCGAAGCTCTCCAACAGACGGAGAACTGTGGGGCAATGAAGCTGCACTGGAGGGTGGGCCAGCAAGGACGGAAGAAAAAGGTACAAACTTTTGTTTGTAGTTGCTTGCCAGTTATGAATTCCTCGGGACGTATTCACCCTGGGAGCCTGTGCAAGTACACAGCACGGAGATGTTTTCCCGCTCACCTTCCTCCCATGCAGAAACACTCCAGGTTAGTTTACGCTGCTGGGTTTTCTTGCGAGGCGTCACTCAGCGACTCCCAGCACAACCCCACGCACCCGTCCCGTTCAGCCCCACGCGTGCCCGGGGAACGAGCTCGTTTTACCTCTGGCCCCTTTTCTGTACCGAGCGGCCGGTTCCTGAGGCCGCCTCTCCCTCTCAGGACAGGCCGCGGGGAGCGGGGGCAGCTCCGCCTCGCCAGCAGCAGCGCCTCGGGGGGGGCTCGCGGCAGGAGCCCGCCGGCCGCAGGGACGGGCCCGGCCCCGCTGCCCGCACCGGGACGGGCACCCTGCGGGCATCGCCCCCGCCGCCGGGACCAGGGCGGCTCCGAGCAGCCCCGGCCGAGCGGAGAACCGCGGGCGAGGCAGGGCCGGCAGGGAACCGGGCAGGGAACCGGGCAGGGAACCGGGCAGGAACCGGGCAGGAACCGGGCAGGAACCGGGCGGCCGCGGGGAGGGCAGGGCACGGAGCCGCCCGGGCACGGGGCTGCGGCTCGGCGGGGCCGGCCCCGGGCCCCGGGGAGAGATCTGCCGGCGGCCTGCCCCGGGAGGGAGGGAGGAGGCGAGGCCCCTGCCCCGGCCCCGGCCCCGGCCCCGGCCCCGGCCCCGGCCCCGGCCCCGGCCCGCGGAGCCCCCCCCGCCCCCCCCGGGCCCTCACCTGTGTCGGCGCGCGCCGCTCCCGCCCGTGCCGCGTGCAGCTCCCCGCCCTGCCCCCACCGCCCCGCCCGGCGCCGCCAATCAGCGCCCGGCGCCGCCGGCACGGCCGGCCAATGAGCGAGCGGAACGCGTCCCCGCCCAGCGCCGAGCCGGCCGCCGGGCCCCGCCCCTCTGCTCGCCCGCCAGCCTATCCCGTGACGGGGCGCGGCGCGCGGGGAGGGGCGGGGCGCGGCGCGCGGCGCCCAATGAGAAATCACAGCGCGTCCCCCCGCGGCCAATCAGCGCGCGGCCAGGCCTTCACCTCAGGGCGGGCCGCGCTCGGCCCCCGGGGGCTGCGGGGTCCCGGTGCTGCGGCCGCCTCTGCCTGGCCCGGGGGCTGCTGCCGAGGGCAGGGCCGCGGCCCCCCCCCCCCCCCCCCCCGAGCCGAGGGGGAGGCGCTGGGCTGCGGGCGGGGCCGTGGGCAGGGCCCTGGGGCTGTGCGCGGCGGGTTCGCGGCCGGGCCGCGGCTGGGCTGGGCGGCGGGGCTCGGGCGGGCCGTGTCAGGGCTCCAGGCAGGAAGCGGGGCGGGAGCGTTTGGGTTTGGGGCGCGTTTGCTTTCGGTTTCCTCAGCCTGAGCGGCTGCAGGGGGATGGCGGGTGAGTGGGGCTCGCCGGGACGGGCCCTGCTGGGCCCGGGGCACCGCAGCGTGCAGGCTGAGGAGCCGGGCGCGGCCCCGTGCCAGGGCTGTGTCCCCCCGGGGCGCTTTCCGTGGCTGTGCGGTAGCAGGAACAGGCGGGGGGCGGCCCGGGAAGCGCCCAGGACTGGTGAAAAAGCTGGGGGGCGGTGGGGACAGCCTCGGGTGGGCGAGGAGGAGCGCTGAGGGAAGAGATGGGAAAGGGGATGGCTGGGGAGGGCGGTGGAGCTGTGGCCTGCGTGGGCTCTGGGTGTTGACGTGGCCACCCTGCAGCCCAGGAGCTGCTGAAGGTGCGCGCGGACTTCGTGGAGCGTGTGCGGAAGCCGCTGATCTCGAAGCTTCTGGATGACCTACTGGCCCACAAGGTGCTGAGCCAGGGAGAAGTGGATGAGGTACAAGAAGGCTATGCAGTGACAGGTGACAAGGCCCGCTGCCTCATTGATGCTGTGCGCCTGAAAGGCTCCAAGGCCAGCCAGATCTTCATCGACAGCCTCAGGAAGCATGATCACACCTTGGTGGAGCAGCTGGGTCTGGCCACCGGCTCGGGTGAGAGACGCGGGGCTGTGGCCTGCCCCAGCCATGCTGAGGCACTGGGTGCCTCCTGCAGGGTGCTGGAGGGAGACGTGGGAGCAGCTGGGAGTTCCCAGTGTCACTGTGCTGTGGCAGTGGGTCCCCGTTGCCATGCAGCGATGACAAGGCTCTTGGGGGACTGTCCCCTGTGGGACTGAACAGGGACACCTGTGTGGCAGAGCCTGGTTCTGCTTGCCCACTCATGCCCTGTGACAGTCCCTGCTTGTCCTTCCCCGTGTAACCGCGGGAGTTTGTGTTTACAGGGTCCCCTGGTGTGCAGCCCCCCGTTAGCATCCAGGGCCAGCAGTGGATCCGGCAGTGCTCCCTAAGCGAGTACCAGCGCATCCAGGAAGCAGAGGGAAATCAGGTGCTGTGGGTGGAGGAGATGAGAGGAGAGCCGGAGCACAGACCTGCTGCCCACCAGAGTGGGCGAGGGCTACCAAGGGTCCTCCCTGGCCCAGGAGCAGGAGCTCTGGGGTGATCTCCCAGAGAAAGGGAGGTGTGGATGCTGTGTCCGTGGGCCTTCTCCGTGCTTTTCCCAAGAAAATTCCCCTTCATCCACCCACAGCTGAGTGTCACCTCCCTCCCTCCTCACAGATCTATCCCATACTCTTGCCACGGGAGACACGAACCCGTAGGGCTCTGCTCATCTGCAACACAGAGTTTGAGCACCTCAGCCAGCGAGAGGGGGCTGAAGTGGATGTGAAGGAAATGACGAAGCTGCTGGAGGGGCTGGGCTACAGGGTGGACCTCCATGAAAACTTAACTTCCCAGGTAAAGTACTGTACAAAGCAGCTGGCACTGGCCCCACAAATGGTGTGGAGACCCTTGTGTGCAATGGTCACGGGGGGACTCAGAGTAGACGTGGCTTTGGGGGATCTTGGGCACCATGGGAACAACTCACCATGGGAACAACTCTGTCCCTGGCTCCTGTTGACAGCTGGTGCCTGGATCTCCACACAGCTGATTACAGGAGTATGATGCTCCTTCTGCCTTGTGGCTTGCAGGAGATGGCCGTGGTCATGAAGGATTTTGCAGGTCACGAAGATCATTTGACCTCTGACAGCACCTTCCTAGTGTTCATGTCCCACGGACGTAGGACTGGGCTCTGCGGAACCAAGAGCAGAGATGAGACCACAGACATCCTTTCCCTTGACACCATATATGAGAACTTCAACAACAAGCACTGCAAGGCACTGATTGGCAAACCCAAGGTGGTTATTATCCAGTCCTGCCGTGGAGGTGAGTTCCCACTATGGGGTGCCTGTCAGGTGAGCAAGCCAGACAGGCTCTCCCAGGGCAAGTCTGCCCCAAGCACAGGGTGAGGTTGGGGCACCCCACTACTGATGGCTGGCCCTATCTTCCTAGACAAAAGAGGGTCGGTGCTGGTGTCTGACTCAGCCATCTCCGAGATGCCTGCTCTCAGCTCAGACAGCATGAACACTGTAAAGCTGGAATGTAAAGAAATGAGATTAATTCACCTGGAGAGTGATTTTGCCACTTTATATTCCTCCACACCTGGTAAGCAATTCCTGGGAGATAGTTCTCCTGTCTGAGGGGAGGTGAGGGGGACAGGATTGCCATTCCCCGTGCCATGGGTCTATTCCACACCACCTCCTTGGGGTAGGTTGCCTGGGGGTCCTCGCCATCAGGTGTTCTGGCATGCACTGCTCTGGGGTTGGAGCAGCCTCTGGAGAGGGCAACATGCCCTGGTGCCAGGGTACACGGCTGTGCCAGGCCCTGAGCCCTGTCTGGGTGAGCGGCACCAGGGCTGGAGCTTTGTGCCCTCCTGGCACACTCTGAGCTGGGGCTGCTCTCACCCATGCACTAGGCACCCTGGTGCTGCAGTGCTCCCCAGAAGGGAAGCCTGCCTGGCTGCCTGCCCTCACCCCAGCCTCCTCACCAGCTCTGCCCGCACACCTTCCCCAGCCCATTTATCTCACCACAGCGACTGGCTAGGGACAGCTGTCTCCTGCAGGGAGTCTGGCTCGGTCAGATGGCTCCAGGCCATGCCAGCTGGCACACATCAGGAGTGTGGCTGGCAGCAGGGTGGACAGAGAGGCTTGAGGAGGATATATCCCAGCCAGCCTCCCTGGAATGCTCTGTCCTTTTCCCATTCTTTATCCTGCAGGTCAGATAGGCCAAATACAAATATCCCAGAGAAGGTGACCCTGTTTCCTGCTGTAGCACCCAGTGTTAATCACTGTGGCAGTGGAGAACACCAGGGAAATGACACTTGGCATCTTTTGTCTCCCCAGATACCGTCTCCTGGAGAAACCCAGTAAGAGGCACCATTTTTATCCAGAGACTGGTAGAGCAGTTTCGAAACCATGCCTTTAACAGTGACTTGCAGGAGTTGTTCCGAAAGGTGAGGCTCTGCAGTCAAATGCAGATGCAGCTATGCAGTGGTTAGAGATACTGCTCTGGGAGCAGGGCCCAGCTCCAAGCAGAGCTCTGGCCAGGGCAGGCTGTTCCTCTGCAGGCCTCAGGAGCAAACTCCTGAGGAAAGGGGTCCAGGTGCTCGGGTTTGGCCTGGAAAATCAGCTGGATCTCCAGGGGTATCAGCATCACGCTGTGTGGTGGGTGCGTGAGAACCTGGAGTGTTGGTGCAGCCCATGGCGCCCCTTGTGCCACCAGACACCTTCCTGGGAATGCCTCCTGATTCCCTATGCTGTTCCCATGCTGGGAAGGGGTGTCCTCATTTCTCCCCATTCTCTCACCCCAGGTCCAACGTTCCTTTGAAGACTTCCCTAAGCAGTTGCCAACACAAGAAAGAACTACAATGCTCAGGAAGTTCTATCTCTTCCCAGGCCACTGATCTGCCTGCCGTGAGTATCTTCACCTCACACCTCTACAGCAGCCTTTTCTCTGTGGCCCAAACCTGGTAATCTTGTCAGAGGGCAGGAGCAGGGATAAATTCCCCATCTCTCCTGGCTTCAGACCACACAGCTTAGGCTGTATGTCCAAAGGACACGAGTACTGGTAGTAGGTGCCAGGCACTGGCCTGACTTGTTCCCCATCTCCCAGCTGACTACAGCAGATACGGGCTACCAAAACAACTTCCTTGAGCACCTGTTTCAGGGGTGTCTTGGTCTCATGTTCTCCGATGGGTTTAAAAAAAAAAAGCCACGGACAGAGAAAGTGTTTGAATTTGGGAGTGATACAGCAGAAGGCTCAAACTCAAGGGGAATTCAGCTCCGCTTCAGAGTGATGCACTTAAGGAAAATTTCCTTTTCTGTCCTTGGAGTAAAGGCCAAGAATTGTGTTCTCTGTAGAAACACAATCTCTGAACCAGTTCTTTTTGCCCTCTCCTCTAGGCAACCTCAGACTGGAATAAAATAGTCCATGGTCTCCTCTCCTTTCCTTTTGTGGCCTGCAACCTCTGAGCAAATTCTTGCCAGGGAGCAGCGGATGCCTGTCAGTAGAGCACTGAATGCAAACATGGCAATGGTAAAGAGATGTTAGTCAAGCAGAGCCTGTGGAGCATCTCCCCAGCAGTGACGATCTCCGACAGCCACTTCCACCCTGTCTCTGACTCTACATGTTATCTAATAAAGGGTTTTTAACATCAGACAGTACCTCTTCTTTGCCTCTAGCCTGTGGTGGGTGGATGGTCACCATGGCCGGCAGTAGCTGCTGTTGTGTTGCGTTCCTGCGGCAGCTGTGAGCAAGGTGGGAGGGTGGAAATCAGAGGGGGTGCCCACCCTGAGGGTGGCTGGGCACGTGTTGCCTGGGGCTGCCCTGGAGGCCCACGACTGCTCAGTGTGTATCTGCTCTCTGCACCACTGGGACACCAGGACCCAGGAGCTGGACTTTATGATCCTTGCGGGTCCCTTCCAATTTGGATATTCTATGACAGTGTCTCCTCTAGTCCTCACCCGAGTTGTGCAAGAGCTATGGTTTGTCTTCTCTGGCACAAGGGGATGCAACAACAGAGCTGCCTCATGCCCTGCTGTCCCTCGGCATCTCGAGTTTCTGCCCAGAGTCTGCATGCTCTCCAGGTTTCCATCTCCTTTGGCTGAGTCCCTCGGGAAAGAAAGTGAATGCAAAGCCTTCCCTTACCCAGGCCACCAAGCCCAAAGCAGGGTGGGTGTCCATGTTCCCACTGCTCCTTCCTTGCAGGCCCACAGCGTCGCCTTTCTCAGGAGGCAGCTCACTCCATGTCCTCACACTGCCTGGAGGTGGAGGAAGGATGTGATTCCCTCTGGGAGCCATGAGGGTTCCTTAAGCCCATGTCTAACACCCCAGCCCCACCAGCATCCCCTCAGGTAAGCCAGAGCCCATTCCTGTGCCCACCACTGCTCCTGTTCTCCTCCATAGCCACACCCAAACTGTTCTCTACCTTGGCATGGAGTCAGGTTTATTGCAAGTTCTGCAGCTCCGCTACCAGGTGGTCTGGCAGTAGGGAAGGAGAAGACTCTCCTGCCTCCTCCTAGTGTCTGAAACACCGCAGTGCAGGCAGGCTGTGGCCTGAGCCAGTGCCACCAGTGTCCCAGAGAGCTTGCAGGAGAACTCAGAGGGATGGGCATGGAAATGTGTCTCAGCTCCAGCTCCATGTGTGCAGGGATGGCAGAAGTCCTAGGACTGCGAAGGGGGCAGCTGGTCCAGGATGAGCCCCTCTGCCCAGAGCCCAGGAGCCCTGCACCACTGCCCAGGGCTCCTCAGGTCTCACACAATGTTTGCAGAAACCCTGGTCCCCAGTGCTACGGTGGGGGCAGGAAATTGAGGACAGCGGTGATGAATTCTTCAAATTTATCTTGATGGACTATGTGACCTGCACCTTCAATGAACTGGATATCTGCCCTGGGAAAGAGGCGCTGGATCTCTGGGTAGTCTTTGGAACTGCAGGACGAGTGAACACGAGATGGGAGCTGTGGTCAGAGGTCTGTCCAAATGTCTGCCCTCACACTCCCCAAGCAGAGGGCTAGCCCAGCTCTGACCACATCTCCCTTCACTGCTAGGAAGGCCTGGGGCTGCCCCCAGGTTCCTCCTCGCTCTCCAGCGTGCTGGTGTCACCGGCTGCTGGAGGCACAGGGCTCACTCCAGGACCTCCCCCCTCCTGGGACTTCCTCGCACCCTCAGCAGCTGCAGAGGATCATGAGGGGTCAAACCACGGACTTCTTTCCAGTCCCACCTGATATAGGGTGAGTTGGATCCTCCCAGAAAGAGTGTAGGGCCAGGGTATGGCTTGTGGAAGACAGGAAAGCTCATGATATCTTCCAAGTGGTGGGAGATGGCCTCCAGGTTCACACGCCAGACGTAGCGGCCCTCCACCTCCACCAGGTTGGTGAGAAGGAACTGCCTCAGCTGCGGGTGCTGCCACAAAAGAGGAATGTGCTGGTGGGTAACACGCTCATCAGTGAGAGCAACGCGCCCTCAGGATGTGCTGGCACCCTGCATTGTCCCCTCCAGCCCACCCCGCAGGCCTCACAGGCTCCGTGTGCCAAGTCCCCCAGTGCCCTGGTGGCCCAGCTGCACAGGCCAGCACCGAGCTAGCAGGAGAGGGAAGAGCCCAGCAGGGACTGTGGTCCTGAAGCCCAGTGTCCCAGGGACAGGCCAGGAGCAGAAGCCCCGTTCCAGCAGAAGGATTTCCCACCTGGACCGCTGGACTCAGCTGACTGTCAGCCAGCTGGCGGGCTGCAGAGCGGGACAGACCAGCCGGGATGTTCACTGACTTCATGGCAGAGATGTAGGCAGAGAACTCGGAGACGAGCGTGGTTGAGACAGGGCTGATGTCTACGGAGATGAGGCGCTCCACCAGGTCTGGCTGGGGACACAAGCGGGGCACATTGGACGCGAGCCGAGCCCTCCCGGCCCCACTCTGCGTGGCGGGGCCAGGCGCAGGGCTCCCGGCAAGGCTCCTCGAAGGCTTCCAGCCTCCTCCTGCCCCAGCGCAGAGCTCCGCGTGCCCATCCCCGAGCTCCTTCAGGTGTCACCCCCCACCTCGTGGTCGCCACCCCCTTCCCACAGCGTCCCGCCACCCGGCCCGCTCCCACCACCGGCCTCAGGCGCCCGCCGACCCGCTGCAAGGCCAGCGCCATGGCCGTCTTGCCGCCCATGCTGTGTCCCAGCACGATGCACTTGGCGATGCCCAGGCGGGCCAGGAGCTGCTGCACGTCCAGGCTCATGGCTTCGTACGTCATCACCGGGCTGTGGGGGCTGCCGCCGTGGTTGCGGGCATCCAGCGTCAGCACCTGCTGGGCAGCGCCCCGTCACCCCCGGCACCGGCACCGGCACCACAGGCGGCCACGGCCCCGAGCCCCGGGGCACCGCCGCGGCCTCCCCGTCCCCCCCCGTCCCGGGTCCCGGCCTCACCTGGCTGCCGCTGCGTCGTGCCAGCGCGTTGGCCGCTGTCTGCAGGTTGCCGCGGCTGCCGAACAGCCCGTGCAGCAGCACCAGGGGCGGCCGCGGCCCCGCGGGACCCAGCACCGCGTGGGACAGGGGCACGGCCCTGCGGGGGGGGGGCGTCAGGGCGGGGCAGAGGGGGCGGGGCCTGGAGGGGCGGGGCCGAGAAGGGGCGGGGCCAGGCCCGGGCAGGGGGCGGGGTCACACGGCGAGGGGGCGGGGACAAGCGGGGGGTGCAGCCCCGCCCCTCCTGGCACGGCCCCGCCCCCTCCCTCCCTCCCTCCCTCCCTGGCCCCGCGCGCGGCCGGGCCCTTACGTCACGGCGGAGCGGGCGGCGGGCGGCGGCGGGCGGGGGCGGCGGGGCAGGCGGCGCAGCATGGCGGCGGCGGCGGCGGCGGCGGCGGCGGGCGGGACGTGACGCGCAACCGGCGGCCCCGCCTCCCGCCGCTGCCCGCGCGCGCCCCCTGGCGGCCGGAGGGGGCGGCGGCGCCATGACTCAGCGCCGGGAGCGGGCCTCGGAGAACGGGGCCGCGTGTGCCAGCGGTGTCACCGTGTGTCACCGTGTGTCACCGTGTGTCACCGTGCACCATGGTGTGCCACCGTGTCCCCCCGTTGTCACCACGTCACACCGCGTGTCCCTGCACACTGCCCGTCTGACGCCCGGCTCCGTGCAGGCAGCTGTCCCCGTCCCTGTCCCCGTCCCCGTCCCTGTCCCTGTCCCCGTCCCTGTCCCTGTCCCTGTCCCCGTGGGGCTCCAGCCCCGCCTGGGACCTGTGACCGAGGATGTGCGGTGCTCCCCCCAGACCTCTGCCATCCTGGGGACTCCCCCAGGCCTGCGTGGTGCTGCCCGCGCCCTGCTCCCCATGGTGCCCCGAGGGGCCGCGTGCTGTGCTGTGCTGTGCCGTGCCGTGCCGTGCTGTGCTGTGGCAGGACGCAGCACGTGGGTGCACGTCGGTGCCCCGCAGCCACGCTCGGGTGATCGGCGGAAGCGTCTCCCCGCACCAGGCATCCCGGCCCCGCAGCGCTGCCTTTGTCGCAGAGCCAGCGAGGGGAGAGCTGACACCGGGGGTGGAACCGGGGGGGGGCCGCGTCCCTCAAAGGCCTCCTTGTGCTCGCTGCCGGCCTCCGCCTGCAGGCAGCAAGGTCACCGCCTGCCCGCAGGCCCCGCGTGCCAGCGCCCCGCTGTCCCCGGGAGCCCCAGGCCGGCCCCAGCCGGGCTGCTCCGCTCCGCAGCGCGGCCGATCCTTATCGGGGGCCAGGTGGGGCCGGGGAACCGGGGCCGTGCAGGTCGCCGCGGGCTCGGCCTGCCCACGGGGGTGTCGGACCGGGAGTGGCAAAACCGCCTGCTCTGCCCTGCCTCTGGGCAGCGCTTTTCCAAGTGGCGGCTGCAGGACGTCCCCGGTGGGCCAGGGAAGGGCCGAGAGGAGGCAGCAGCCGGCGGCCCCGCGCGGGACGGGGCGATGCACCTGCGGCTTTGTCCCTGCTCGCTGGAGCGTGGCGGGAAGGCGGGGGCCCTGTGGGGCCGAGCCGAGCCGAGCCGTGCCATGCCGCCGGCTGGGAACAGGCGGTACGGGCGGTTGTGCAATGCGGCCTCACCCCAGCCTTTGCTGGGGGGGAAAGAGCCCGTCTTCCCCTCCGGAGAGCCAGACTTTGTACTGAGCGGGCAGGGAGTGTCAGCAGCAGGATGTGAACGGCTGCTTGGGTGTCTGCAGACCCACCCGCTGCCAGCAGTACCCTCAAAAGTGTGTGTGTGGGGGAGAGCAGCCCTCCCCGGGACCACCAGACCCCAGAAGGGCAGTCCCATGGGTTGGGAGGGAGCCAGAGGGGGAGAGAAAGCAAGGAGGGGCTGGGGCACAGGATGGGACTTGGGAGTTGCATGTCCCCAGATCTGGTGCTGTGTGGACGCTGCTGCTCCTGCGGGGCCAGGGGGGGCGTCCCCGGTGACCCTGGTGGGCTCCATTCCCAGTGGGGTGGCTCCTGGCATGGGGACAGCTCTGTGCTCACGCCCCTGTTTGAGAGGACAAAGAGATGGTCCTGGCTGCGGTGGGTTCCTATCCATCCCGGCTCCGGGGCTGGCATTTTCTTCCTTAATTGTGCTAATTAGCTCCACACTTTCAGCCCGTGGGGCTGAAGCTGTTGTCCCACAGATGGCTCCCACCCCACATGTCCCCCCCCTCCATCCAGCTGAGGAGAGCTTCCCCAAGGACACGCAGCTACCAAAACAGG